GGTTTTTTGTTTAATTCCTGCATGATGTCATTTATTTTGTGAGTGAAATTGCGCTTGAAAACATCTCCGAATTAAAAACCTGTCCAGAGATGACTGTCACCCTGGAACAAATCAGGCAGTTTCATTGAAAGCTCCATCATGCATCTTGAAATTGATGGTGTCAATCCAACTTCCAAAAAAACCCTTTTCTATTCAACATTTTTTCCCCACTTTAATACAGAATCATGTCAATAACTAAAGGAAAAACCTTTTTATTGTGAGATTGTTCCAGTGCAGAGATATTTTTTAATCTTTCTGATTAATATATCATATTGTAAAGAGATTACTCGCATTACTATATTTCATTTTATTGATCTTACTTAACCTGAATATTTGAAAAGAATTAGTCCTGCTTAGAATTTGGATCAGTCCATTTTAAGTTTTAGGGATTTCAGTATGAAAATACAAAAACTTGAACTACCAAACAGTATTGCAAAGCTCGACTGAATACTGGTAGCAAAGGCTGAATAATTTTCAGTTCCAGCACTGGGTAACAGTTAATTAAGATATCTTTATTGATTTTGTTGAAGTAAACTATATTGACAATACTACAGTTTCTTTGACACTTTCTAAAATTACTTGAAATAATATAGCTAAACTCTTCTTTATTGATATTACTTTATTTACTTCTTATTATTGCAATTCCTTTACTCCTCTGTTGACAATTCTGAGTAATCAATGGTAACCTGATTCCAAAATTAACTGATGTAACATTAACTTAACTATGCTGGCATTGGTGGTGATTGTGTTGATGGTAATTTACCCTACAGGTCACAAAAGAAAGCCACTTTGAATTCACCAGAGCACAGTTCAGCCACTGCATCGTTCCTTGGCAGGCTGTAAAGCAGTTTACCAGAACAAGTTGTCTTCACTTTCTGAAGGAATTGATAACTTCTGCATTATAATGCACAAGCAAAGGTACATTGCAAATGACAGTAGAAAGGAATTCATGATCAATCACTAGGAAAGTGATCCACACCATCCAGGAATCCAAGCAAGGTCATCAGGATAACAGTCAAACAGTCTACCTATTTAGCTATCCAAATGGTTGCTTCCACTTTGTTGGCATTAATTACAGAATTTACAAATTATTATGTTACGTTACCATCTGTTTAAAACAATTACATGTTTAATACTTATTGCAATGATTTATTTATGAAGTTATAAGGAATCTGGAATTTGTTAGGAAAACACAGTTCGCTCAGTAGGTTCAGACCAGTAAAACAATCCTCTGCAAATAAAAACCTGTAAATTGAGTCCTTTTTGTGGATGTAGAATTTGGCAGAAATACTGTTTAAACATCTCACATAACACAAATAAATCAGGAATGGAACATTCTACAATACTAAATCAATATAAAGAAGACATAACTATATTTTCTGGGTTGAAAAATTAACAACAAAATGCACAAATCTAAAATGCATGACCATTCAATATAAAACATCTCAAATCTTCTTACTCTCCATATAGTGTTTCCTTGACAGACACAGAGATTTTTCCTGCCAAGTAATTCATATTAAAACTGCTTCTTTCTGCAGAACTTATTCCTGACAGTACAATTCAGAACATCAAACATTCTGTGTTACACTGATTCAATTATGACAAATATAAAGTTAGAGAGAATATATTACAGCATTTCTCCAGACTTGGTCTCTCAGATACCTTTTTCTAGCGTGAACCTGTTACAACTGGTGTCAATAAGGTGTTACATGTTTATATACATTTATATAAGTTTAATTGAATGAGATTCCAACACTGTGAAGGTCATATGGCTTTGTTTTGATTGTTTGTTTATTTGTTTCATTTTACGCCTTTTCCCAACAGTATTTCAGTCATATAGGCAGGTAATTTCCTAACCATCATTCCTGGAGAGTTACACCAGTACTAGACTACCTTCCTCCACCTTAAACTACCAAATCATCTCCCGGGGATCTAGCCCATTCCAAAGAGGTCCCCTCAACCACGGAGGCGGTCAGGTCATATGGCAACTTTCCAGCTTTATCAGTGGAGGAAGACCTCATGTACCCCTCTGTGCATTATTTCAGCGGGCACTTGAGTTTAAACCATTACCTAGCTGGATAGCATCTGCACATGAATGAAACAAAACTCCCTGGTAAAATATGAGCCTACAGCGACAAGTGAAAAGTGGTTCGAAGCAAACAACCTTAACCACTCAGCCACAGACACCCCTAATAATCATTTAAATTGCAATTAAAATACTTGTCTAGATATAAATTTTTGACATCTATTAAACCATGTTAGAAACATTTTAAAATATTGAACTTAATGGATTGGAACTACTAAAGTAAAATTGAGATTTAGTTCCTTCCAGAAATGAAATATGATCAGCTGATGAAAACAGGCATTTACGCATCAAAAGTTTTAGTTGAGTTAGACTTGATTGACAGTAAATGTGTTGTAATGTTGCCTTGCAAAGCCAATTTCAATCCACATTTGACAGAATAATCTAATTTCAGTTGTAGCAATCAGTAAGAAATTTATCTGTCATACAACACAACTCAACAAACCCTTTACTTCCTCTTCACAAAGAAATTTAAAATCGATTAGAAATCGTGAGATTTTTCATACTTTTCTCAAAGCAATTGCACAATTCCATGCAAAGAATCCCTCTAAAAATATTTCTACTTTCTCTCCACCTCTTTCCGAGTTATCAAATTAAATTAAATTTGCGTGAAAGTGAAAAAAACGATTTCTCAGCATGTTTCTGGAACTTTTTGTAATTTTTTTTTCTTTAAAATAAAATAAAAATCTGAGTTAAGATGAGGTTAATCATCCTTAAGGCTAGATTGCTTTAGAGTTGCATTAATATAGCAGAGAACATGAAAACTTCCTTGACACAATCAAGCTAGTCTATGAATAGCAGAATTATTGTTGTTAAATGATTAATCATATTGCAAGTGTATAGGGCCATAGACTACACTGTATGGTATGGAACAAGTCATACGGCACTGTAAGGTATGGAACACATCATACAGCACTTTACTGTATGGTACACATCATACGGCACTGTAGGGTATGGAACACATCATAGGGCACTGTACTGTATGGAACACATCATACGGCAATATACAGTATGGAATACATCATAAGGCACAGTATGTTATGGTACACATCATACGGCACCGTACGGAATGGTACACATCATACGGCACTGTAGGGTATGGAACACATAATATGGCACTATACAGTATGGAACACATAATACGGCACAGTATGTTATGGTACACATCATACGGCACCATACGGAATGGAACACATCATATAGCACCGTACGGTATGGAACATCATACAGCACTGTACAGTATGGAACACATCATATGGCACTGTGTGGTATTGTACACATCCTATGGCACTGTATGGTATGGTTAATACAATAAAGCTCTGTATGATACAGTGCAAAAAGTAAACAAGAGGGCCATGATGGCCCTGAGGTCGCTCACCTGTATATAGGCCCCCCCCCCCCCAACGTTGCAGGGCCAATTTAACCCAAGGCTTTTATTTGCACAAACTTGGTAGACACCCATCAGAAGATGTTTCATGCTAAACATATAAGCTCTAGCTCATTGGGCTTTTAAAAGAAGATTTTTTTTAAAGTTTTTACTATACACATATAGTTAAAAACAATGACACCCCTGGGGCCGGGCCAGTTTTGACGCCAGGGCTTTTATTTGAACAAATTTTGTAGACACTTACTGCTTAATATCTAAACTCTAGCTATTTGGGTTTTTTCAAAGAAGATTTTAAGTTTTTGCTATACACATATAAAGAAAATCAATGACCCCCGAGGCGGGGCCAATTTTGACCCCAGGTCTTTTATTTGAACAAACTTTGTAGACACTCATTAAAAGATCTTTCATGCTTAATATCTTAACTCTAGCTATTTGGGTTTTTTCAAAGAAGATTTTTTAAGTTTTTGCTATACACACATAAGGAAAATCAATGACCCCCGGGGCGGTGCCAATTTTGACCCCAGGGCTTTTATTTGAACAAACTTGGTAGACACCTATTAGAACATGTTTGATGCTAAATATCTTAGCCATAGCTCTTTGAGTTCTTTAAAAGAAGATTTTTTAAGTTTTTACTATATGCATATAGGGAAAATCAATGACCCCCCGGGGCGGGGCCAATTTTGACCCCAGGGCTTTTATTTGAACAAACTTGGTAGACACCCATTAGAACATGTTTCATGCTAAATATCTTAGCTCTAGCTCTTTGGGTTCTTTAAAAGAAGATTTTTTAAATTTTTACTATATGCATATAGGGAAAATCAATGACCCCCTGGGGCGGGGCCAATTTTGACCCCAGGGCTTTTATTTGTACAAACTTGGTAGACACTCACTAGAAGATGTTTCATGCCAAATATCTAAGCTCTAGCTCTTATGGTTTTTTAAAAGAAGATATTTAAAGTTTTTTCTTTCGGTTGCCATGGCAACCAGAGTTCTGCATGGAATTAAATTCTTTGAACAATTTTTAAAGGTGATCACCAAAGGAACATTCCTGTGAAGTTTGGATGAAATTGGCTTAGTGGTTTATGAGGAGATGTCATTTAAAGTAAAAGTTTACGGACGGACGACGGACAGGTGAGCTAAAAAAGAAATGGACAATTTCTATCAAACTTAATCTTAAGTGAGACTCCCCTACCTAAAGAATGTTGTTCTATATGCAATTTAAGCAAGACTACACAATGGTTACTTAGTTGTAATCATGATATAAATGGTTCAGTCTGGTCTTATTTATCTGCAGACATTATTATTTTTTCATGAGGCTTGTACCTTGGTTTGATTATATGACATGTCTTCACACCACCTTTACCTCCAAGAACAATATCTATCTTTCATCATGTCACTGTTCAGAACTGTTCACTATTTAGGGGACTGGTAGACCTGAATTTATACACCTTTTTATTTTCTATGGATTTGTTATAAGTAGAAACAACTTACCATCTTTCTTGTAATATAATATTTCCACCTGTTTTTCTTCTGAGCCCAATAACGCATCTTTAATTTGAAGCATTGCTGTTGAGCTTGTGAGAGGTCCATGCATAAAGTCACAAACACATGTTTTTTGCATGACCTCGGCACGCGAATAACCACTGAGTTCACAAAATCCATCATTACAAAATATTACTGGATTTGTCTCGATTTGAGCATTGGCTATCACAAATTTCCTATCTGAAAATATAAATAAATAAAAATATTTTATCATAATATATACTTTTTTGTGTTAACTTACATCAACACATTAAATATCCCAAAACTTGATCGCAGATGTACTGGGCATTAATAAGCCAGGTCAGTAACCAGTGACTATAAACATTCCCCCCCCCCTCCTCCAAATAAAATATTTCCAAGTTTACATAATAAAGATCATATAATATCAAAGAGCAATAAAAAATTAAAACTTACTGGTTACCTATAAAAACAAACTATATTAATATATGCACTTTACACTTGTGATCTTGACAGCGCTACATTACTCAAAGACAACTTTGTGCATAAACCCGCTGAATTGCTATGACCCATACCTTTCTTGAAGAATTAACAATGCCGAGGATAAAAATTCAATTTAATGCATTTAATAGGTTGGCAGTGCTTGACGGTGAAAACAAGGGTGATGCAAAGCAAAATAATTCAAAGAAAACTACCACTATTTAAACTCCGATAACATATCAGAGTGGTTTAGGGACTAACAAATAACTCAACTGACACATCAAATGTCTCCCTGTACAGGTCTGAAAAGAATGGCGGGGAAGACAGCAAAAAGAACAATATGCAAATTTTCTAAAATTTGTCTGAGAAGAAACAAATTGGTCTCGCCTTTCTCTTTACAAAAGACTTCTAAATCCATAGCAAGACCAGAATCATAATCTTATCCTTATCGATGAAATAACTAAATTTATCATAATTATAAACTACAGTACAAGAGTGTAATAAAGCCATTTAATAAAAACAATATTGCACTAGTGTAATATAGTACAGTTGACTCTCAATAAGTCAAAATCGCTTTACTCAAAATTCCGCGTAAGTCGAAGTATTTCTAAAGTCCCGTCAAAATTCCTTCTTTATCTTTGTATTTTAACTCCGCTTAGGTCAAATTTTGACTTACCGAGACTCCTGTTTAGTCGAAAAGAAAATTTGGTCCCGTCAATTAAAGTCCAACATAATTTCAATTCAATTAGTCGAATTGTGAAAACAGCAGACTGATAAAAGGTCGGCAACATCAAGGTGAGATGTTGTCTCTTGTGATTCACACGTTCCATAGAAATTTTAATTGTCGGTCATCATGTATTATTAACACGTCGTAAAAGTGGCTTTAATTGGTTTCAAGACTTAATTGGTTTTGACAGTTAGATAACAAAATTAAGACTCGTGCCAGTCTGACAGGTGTAAGTAAAAAGACAGCCTAGGTATTGATGTGTGTTATCAACGTAAATGACATTTGTATAATTAATGTTCCGTCATATTGCATACATTAATATGTACTTCCGGTTCACGATAGTTGCTACTTTCGTTTTTCGTCCGATGATCAATTCACTTCAAATATTAGATAAATTGGTGTTGAAATAAAAGAGTTATTGTGCTTTTATTGTAATGATATGTCATGAGTGTTTATTATTAACGTGTGCTTTACTGATGAATACAGACAAACTTGCATTTATGTCATTTCTACGAATGTTTGTGTTTATGTTTCACTATTAATATACATGTATTAAATTATACATTTTTGTTCATAATTTGTAGTTGAAAGTGATTTACCGTCATTTCAACGGTTAAATATTGTAGCATTGCCGCTATCAACAATAATAAACCTACTTCTTTGTACATTCAATCAGGCACATGTATATACATGTACGAATGTCAACGAAATGGCGGCAGATCCACCTTACTCGAATTCCGTTTCTCTCGAAGTAAAATGCCCAGTCCCTTGGATTTCGAGTTACCGAGAGTCAACTGTACTTTGATGTGACGTCTTTTGCATTATATACAAACATAGCATTAAAGCGGCTTAAGTTAGCATCACACTATAGGCGAGCCAATGAAAAATGACTTTTTTTACCTGTAAACCCTTCTTTAAATAGTTATATGATAAAAAGAATATTGTTTTCGTGTAGATTTAATACTAAATTTATTGAACTCATTGAATAAAACAATGTTATGCTCGCCAGAGGCTCACAAAATATGATTTTATTCAACTTGTTCAATAAATTCAGAATATAACCTACACTCATTCAATATCCTCTATATATCGCATTGTTACAAGCTGATAAGATACCAACTTCTTGCACTTCTATATAACATCAATATAGGCAATGTTTAGTGGTCAGTGAAGGGTGCTTCAGCAAGAAACATGACAGTTTATAGTGGCGAATTAATCTGCCGATAAATATCAATCTATCAGCTCTCATATACAAACAATGTCTTCAGCAGCAAAACATCCGTTCTATACTTTATATCACATTTTTACAAGATTGATTAGGAAGCTAAGACCTACAGACCTAATCTTGTTTTAGTCTAAAAATGGTTTTATGGCTCATTTTCATCTTGAAATAATAACATGCATGCACATAAATAAAATACAAAGTGTCTGTAATTCCAGAACTTGTATTGAATGACTAATTACAATTCTTTTATAATTAAAATTGTTCCAACCAACTTTAATAAAAAGGTCAGCTTCTATATTTCGCAACAAACAAGATCCATGGTTAAAACTGGAATGCAGTAAGGTAAATCAGATAATTAATTCTAACCTTAAATGAATATTATGTTTTTGTCATGTACGTTAATAAAGAGAGTAGCATTGTTTAGAAAACAAAATATATGGGGCATAAAGGCAAGCAGTGGTTTTGCTATTATGTCAGTTGCAGCCTTTCTATCAGCCAGTCTTTGGTTTGATCAAAACAAGAGTCATCACTCATGAATTCGATTTCTTCATGTGTCGCCAATGCCCACAAAATGGATTACTTATAAGTTGTGAGAATCTGCTTCAAAATACAGCACAAATATGTATACAATACAAGGGAATATAATAAAGAAATTTAATAGCTTTTAACAATTTAGCCTGCTAATGGAAACTGGTTCTACGCATGCAGTCTGCACTATTCCCTATTCAGTCAGTGTGTATTTTAAAGAAACTCAACTGAGGTCCAAAAGCCTAGAAACATAAAATTTTTATTGCTTACATGGATTAACTTGAACACTAATAAGACAAAGATAATACAAACAGTAATTAAGAAATAAACTCAGAAATAAATAAAAAAAATGTATATTTGTACTCTTCTTTAATAGCCTGATTTGTGTGAAAAGGGTTGGAATGGTTTTAAAATTCAGGTCATTTTTCACAATAAGAATTAATTATTCTAGAAAAACTGAGTCTGAAATTTTGCACACTATAGTTATTGGTCTAGATCTAAATCAAATCAAATATTAATCTTGAAAAATTATTTCCAGTCCCTTCATGTCAAAAACCCTTTGTGGTGTCCCTTTAAAATTGTCCCTAAAATGATGAAATGGTCTTGTCAAGATTTTAAGACAGACAAGTCCATTTAAGATGAGCCATGCCATGACAAAACCAACATAATGGGTTTGCGACCAGCATGGATCCAGACCAGCCTGCGCATCCGCGCAGACAGATCAGGATCCATATGCTGTTCGCTTACCAACCCTATTACAAGTAGAGAAACTGATAGCGAACAGCATGGATCCTGATCAGACTGCGCGGAAGCGCAGGCTGGTCTGGATCCATGCTGGTCGCAAACACACTACGTTGGTTTTGTCATGGCGCGGCTCATATAGTATGGTAAGGGTAAGACTTAAATATTAGAGTGACTGATGACAAAGAAACATACATCCATCATTTCTTACAAATTTAAAACACTTTACATCCCTATGCTTTATTCTTCTTAAAAGATAATCTAATACACTGTTGGTTTATTAAATATGATCTTTCAAATTTATGTACAATTTTTACATTCAATGAAATTATTCAACTCCCACAATGCCTCAGTCTGTCTTCCGTAATGCAATATTGTCTAAGAATTCAATAAACTATTTTACTTGACTTTTAAATTGAATTTCTTGTCTAGACATGCTTGTTAAAAATCTCTTGTTTGCTGTTCCTTTGACATGTGTAACAAAGCTATTTGTCTCAAAAATTTCCTTTAAATGCCAAATTTAGATTTGGATAATAATGATGCTCAGCTGGGATACTTCATCATAAAAAAAATCTGGGGGACATGCAAACTTTGTTTTACCCTAAAGTTGGAGCCAGCTATAATCAAAGGCTCTTAAAATATGTACCTATGACTACCGCAAGACAAGAGACATAGACATGCCATTTGTATAATTTAGTCCATATAACTTACAACATATTTTTCGTCTAAATACCGGTTACATATTTGTCATATTTAGGTTGCAATGATTATTATATATTTAGGTTGGCATTGCAATGATTATTAAAAAGATTCGTAAAAACATTGGTATCTTGCTTTTACCACTTACGTTCATGAACAGTCTTTAAATCAAACTGAGCCTCGAAAGTTTTCAAGTGTTCTTTAAAGTCTCATACCTATACAAACCATGTAAGAAGACTGATACAAACCATCAAGCTTGACCTGTACGAACCACCAGGTAAGATCTATTATGACAAACCATCAAATTAGACCTATACAAACTATCAAATAAACCATCAAACAAGACCTATAAAACCATCAATTAAGACCTATACAAACCATCAAATAAGACCTGTACATTCCATAAAGTAAGACCTATACAAACCATCAAATAAGACCTGTACATTCCATAAAGTAAGACCTATACAAACCATCAAATAAGACCTGTACATTCCATAAAGTAAGACCTATACAAACCATCAAATAAGACCTGTACATTCCATAAATTAAGACCTATACAAACCATCAAATAAGACCTGTACATTCCATCAAATCAAATAAGACTACACAAGGCATCAAATATACCTATACAAACCACCAAATAAGACTTGTGCAAACCATCAACAAACCATCAAATATTTGACCTATGCAAACCACCTTATGTTTCTCTTGTGTCCTAACAAACCATCTTATTACCAGAGCACCTTTATACAGATATTATGTGCACAAATTACATGCTCTTCATTTTTTTTAACAAAAACTTGTCAGACTAATAAGATCTTG